CCCTGAGTTTTCCAATCAGGATGAAGGGCAGTGCTGCCTTAGGTATATAAACCAGGGGACTGCCATTCAGTGCGCTTGCTAGCCAGGTTTCCAGTAGCACAACCTTATGGCGGAAGGAAAGGTTTGTCTTACCAACTTACTTTCCAGCATGTGTTTGATTTCTTATTTTTAAGAGCAAATAGTTCATTCAGCTGTTTCACAAATAATAATCATTTTAATAATTTCTAGAGAAAGATATATATATATAATATATGTATATATTATATATATATATATATAGAGAGAGAGAGAGAGAGAGAGAGTAGTTTTTATACAAAATAATATATTTTAAATTGCCATTGGAACTTTATTTATTTATATGTGGTGCTGAGAATCGAACCAGTGCCTCACACATGCTAGGCAAGTGCTCTACCCCTGAGTCACAACCCCAGCCCCAGAGTGGTTTTTTAATTTAAAAAAAAATTCTTTGATTTGTTCTAATTAGTTATACATGAAAATAGAACACCTTTTGACACATTGTACACAAATGACAAAGTGGTTTTTATACATGTGGCAGTTCATTTACAGTGGCCCATCTCTGGGGAACCACTGCATTTATTTGGGCCACCTTAAAACTCCTTTAAATATTAACATTATATGCATACTGCCAGAACAAATATCCATTACACACTACAGGCTGCATATTTTTTTAATCATATTCCTTTTGATGACATTTCCCCCTGAGATGCACACTGAGTTCATCAGTGCCAAACATTGTGGAATGGCACAGGGTGATAGAAAAGAATTTCTTATTCTAGATCATTAATGGAAAATAATGTCTTTGACTCTCTGGTTCTTCTCATGGATTACACCAGGTGTTTCCCCTATGTGTAATTTTCAGACTTATTTCTGGAAAGGGGGAATTTCTGTACCATTTGCTTGTTTTCTGGAAGCAGCAGGAAAAGCCTCATGGCCTTAGAAAAGCCTGGCCTTGGGGTGAGTAGGGGAAGCAGGAGAGAACTTTCTTGAGGAGAATGGTCAGATAGGTTATCAATGGCAGCTTGTGGGGATCCAGCCCCAAGGACAGAGGTCAGACTCTGAAGTTCACATGGGCTTTTGACAATGCAGCCTGTAGAAACCTACCTCAAGGTGCCATCCTGAGCACAGCCAAGAGTTCCATTCTCCATTGGGTGGCTGAGGCAGAGGGTGTGTGAGCCGCATTGTCATTGTGGAGGTGACTTCCATTTGGGGGCATTACGGGGGCCTGGGCAGCAGGTGAAGTTTATTTTCCTGAAGATGACTCTCAACAGCAGCTCCATTCACATCCTGGGGCTGCTTTGCAAACAAAGCTTGTGCTTTTATGACATTTTTTTAAAAAAATGGATTTAATGGACGGAGTTCATTTAGACAATGAGCGGAATTAGAATACACATCCATTTTGCCATCAGTCATTGTCTAAACCACTCCACCACCCAAGAGCTGCTGCATTCTCATGAGAGGCTGGACACCAAGACTACTTTAGCAACGTAGCTTGAGAGGCCAGTGCCTCTCCTGCCTGCATCTAAGAAGAGGCAGAATTCAATCAAGGCCAGGACAGGGGTGTGAGGGAGCTGCCTGCAGCTGATGCTGAGACTCGGTGGATGTGGCATCTTTTCTGGACTGTGTCACCACCATGCTATGGTTGGCAGGCTTCATGATCTTTACTGATTTTTCAGGAGACAGTGTTTTTGTCAAAACCTCGAGTTCCATTGATGTTACAGATGTTTTTCTTGATAGGTGAGAATATTTCAACACAATTTTATTGTAGCATGGGTTTTTTTATGACTGCCTGGAGATATCTTTTCATCTGTATTTTTAACGGTACCTTTCCAAACAGTATCGTCACAAGGACATTGGTTTAGTTTGACCCGAGTGAGATAAGCTGGCTTTGCCAAGGTGTTTGGTTTTCCAGTTTCCACTTCTCACGCCAGGATCGAAAGATGAAAAAGCTTGAGGGTGGTTTCATTGTCAAGTGGCATCTAATTGGTGGGGAGCTCATTAAAACAGAATTCAATTACCTAGGAATTTTGAAGGTCCTAAAACTTTCCACAGGGCAAAAATCTGGTGGCAAAACATCTGCCTCTTTAGCTAGGATCACACATAATGGTCATAGATCGTTCAAAATCTGACCTAACTGAAAGGCATGGCCTTTTCACTGGAGCCTTTAAATTTGTACAGTCCTGTTCCCAAGTCCTGATTGTGTTTCTTTTAATGCCACCTTAGGTCATTGGAATCGAAGAGCCATCTGTAATCATCATTTACTGCCTCAAGTCCTTGTTTATTTACCCTTGAGATTCCGGAAGTTAAGAGAGAAAGAAAAAAAAAAACCACAAAACAAAACTGCCTGCCAGTCTCTCTGGGTGTTTCCTTTAGTCCCAGGTAATCCATCTCTTGGCCAGGGACTGCTCCCGCTTGTAATTCTCAGCTATTGATTGTATTCTTGGTTGGAAGTTGGACCACAGATAAATTCTGAGGTCTGTGGCCCTACACGAGGGGGTGGGGGCAAACAATTCATTCTGACACTGGTGCCTGGTGTCAGTGGGGGAAAGAGTAAAGGTTTCGTTGGATTTACTCTAGCTGTGGGTCTTGTTCTCCTTCTAGAATCACAGTGTTAGTTAAAATAAGCCTTTGTACCAAAGGGAAAAAGATCCATCATGCTTGGGATTAGAGGACTCTACAGGGGAAGAGCTCAAATTTATGGAAGGAGGAGTTAATGACATTGACCCGAGGCAGCGCTGCTCACCTGGTTCACAGTCACTTGGCACTTGTAATTCTCTTTTTCCATCTCTGAAATGTCCTCTTTTCCTGCAGCTCTTTTGTCACATTTAACAATCTGCTGTTTTTCCCTTTATCTCCTGAGCTTTGGCTTCTTATCATCCCTTCCCCACCCTTCCCAGCTTTGGGGGACACTCAGTTTCTCTTCTGTCGTTGTCTCCCACGATGCTGGGTCTGTTTTTGTTTTTTTTTTTAAGAGAGAGAACTTTTTAATATTTATTTTTTAGTTCTCGGCGGACACAACATCTTTGTTTGTATGTGGTGCTGAGGATCGAACCCAGGCCGCACGCATGCCAGACGAGCGCGCTACCACTTGAGCCACATCCCCAGCCTGCTGGGTCTGTTTTCACATCTTCTTCACTGCAGCCTGGCTGCTGGGTTCCCTGGTCCAGGCTGTGCTGCTGGCTTGTCCCCCCCACCCCATCCCCCAGCACTATTTCTGACAAGGGAAACCCCACTGGTCTCTTTCTCTTTCTCTGTGTGTGTTGGGGAGAAAAGGTAGGGAAGGAGGGAGAAAGGGGAGGAAGGAAGGACACAGGGAAGGAGAGACAGATTGAAAAAGCCTGAATGGCCCACGATCATGGCCCAGGGCTTTGAGAAGGGGGGTGGGGCTCTGTTTTAATCAACTTTTTCATCACTGTGAACAAAATACTCCACAAGACCAACTCACAGAAGAGAAAGTTTATTTGGAGCTCATGGTTTCAGAGGCTCAGTCCCTAGGTGGCCAACTCCATCGCTCTGGGCCCAAGGTGAGCAGGATGTCATGGCAGAACGGCCTGGTGGAGGACGCTGCTCCATCCACGGCAGCAAGGAAGAGGGGACTGGGGATGCTTCCCATCCCCAGGGCTGCAGGGAGGATGTCCCTTCTAGGCACACCCCTGAGGACCCACCTCCTCCAACCCACAGCTACTACCCAGTCAGTCCATTCAAACTAGGACAACCTGATTAGGTTATGGCTCTCCTCATCGAATCACTTTACCTCTGACTTTTCCTGCATGAACACAGGAACTTCTGGGGGACATCTCATATTCAAACCATAACAGGGTCCCTCCCCTCGGGATGCTGCTGCGCATGGCACAATCAAGCACCTTCATCCATTCTGTGGGGAGCTGTCATCCCATCAGCAGGGCAGCAGTCACTGGACTGTGCTTTATCTTGCACGTGACGTGGGTCTGGAGGCCAAGAATGCTCACTGGAACCTTGGCGCTGGGCCTCAGCACAGCAGGGCAGCCGGCTCCCTGCGCCCTTTCTTTAGGCTGGCAGTAAGCCCTCCCAAATCAAAGCACACCCCAGAAGGCGAGGGGGTACTTCTGTCTGGTGGATACTTCCCTAGAAATGGAGTGGTCATTACTTGGCTTGGGCAGGTGTTTTCCTGGGAGGTGAGGGAGAGAAGCCTCCATTTGCTCACGCAGAGCAGCAGAGGAAGGACACACAAAGGTGAGAATATCCATCGGAGAGTGGAGAGAGTTGAAAGCTACATAGGTGCAGAGAAATCAAAATGCAGATATTTTGCCCACAGGTATCAGGAGCTGGCTGACTCTGTAACTTGCTCTCAGAGTAAGGCTTCTTAGGACCGAAACAGACAACGACCACAATTTATCTAAAAAAGTGGGGGTGGGTATTCGACGACACCTTAGGATAAGTACATTCATCTTCAAACAGGGGCAACCAAAACGGTGGAAGAATTAGGGAGAATCTGCGATTCCTCTGCTCTCCTATTAGAGTGAGCTGCAAATCCTGGAGCGAGCGATTATTTAAATTGGAGAAAAGTTTATTTTCCTGAAGATGACTCTCTCAACAGCAGCTCCATTCACATCCTGGGGCTGCTTTGCAAACAAAGCTTGTGCTTTTATGACATTTTTTTAAAAAATGGATTTAATGGACGGAGTTCATTTAGACAGGGGAGATCAAATGAATGAGCGGAATTAGAATACACATCCATTTGGCCATCAGTCATTGTCTAAGCCACTCGACCACCCAACTTCTCTAATTAAATGACACTGTAGTCTCTGTATAAAGGCTGCAGTGGATAAATTAGTACTTGGTAAGTGCTCTGAAGATGAAAATCATGATATGAAAAATGAACAAGGGTTCTTTCTCCCCCCCTGGGCTGGAGTGGGCATCTTTTGTGTTTTCCCCCTGCACTATGAGTCACCTGGGTTGACACTGCAGAAAATCTCTTCTCCCAAAGGAAGGCAAGAGACACATAATAGTGACAGGCTTTTATTTGACTTACAAGGCAAATTAGGAAAGAATTCGCATTCATTCACCTCTGTATACAAGAAATTATACACCACACACATGCGCTACCTACCGACACAGGCCATATTTTACACGAATTTATGCATTAAGAAATTGCATGGAAATGATCTTGTTTAAACATTCATGAAGAACAAACATCCCCCACAAGCACGGGAGATAGAAATTTAGCTCTGTCCCTCATGAGAGCCTGGCTCACCTCTCTCTAAGCAATTATTTAAAAAATAGATCTGTGTCACAACCCTCCCAAACTAATGGGATCTAGAAGTGCATCTGCTTTAAGGATGTGCTGATGATTCTTAGCGGGAAGGGATTTAGGACAACTTAGGTTTGAAAGGAAAATGTGACCCATTTGGGCAAGTTCAATCCCCATCTAAGGCAAAGCGGGCCTTTTCCTCAACGGCTCCAGCGGCTCCCAGGCAAAGAAACCAAGATCAGAAATTGTTATTCGGTTCTGATCTATGGTGGGGTTTCTTTTCTCACACAATTCTCATTTGTCCATGTTTTCTTTGCCTGGATTGCTCTGACACAATAATAGTCATGCAAGATCGTCCATGTTGACTAATTACTGATGGTCTGACAGGCCCCGGGGAAGGCTGCATCTCCTTGGTGTAAGTCAGGATCCGGGCCACTGGCTGCAGTGCTCCTCCTGGTCCCAGAGCATACAATGTGCCGTGTAATTCTGAGCCCTGGCAGTGCCTCGCTCTCAGCTGCACCCTTAAATTGGTCACGGCTCAGAGAATGGCATTGGCAGTGTGACCAGCAGGGTCATCTCTTCCTGAGGCAGCAGAGGGTGGGGGAGGAGTGCAGTGAGCAAGGTTGGATGCATTGGGGGAAAACACAGCCACTGCTAGATAAGGTTCCCCAAACAGTAGCTAACATGGCCAAAGAGAAGGAGAGAGATCTCTGCCCTCTAAGCAATTCAGAGAGAAGCCAAGCACAAGAGAGTCGGAAAAGTTATTGGAAAACAATTATGTTTGTCTGCTTCCTGCCAATCTGTATCCATTGACAGAGCAAAAGCCATCACAGATACTGTTGTAGACCCACTGTGGCATTAAATAAAGTGGTGTTTGAAATTGTACTGCTTAACATTGCTTGCAGGAGCAGAGAGCGGGTTTAGACTAGTAGGTAGCAGTGGAGGGACATGGGGATGTCTGCAGAAGTTTCCCACATCGGGCCATTTTCTGTCCCAAGGGAATTCACTCCAGCCACAAAAAGGAATTTTTTTAAAAAGTTGTTACTAATTTGGATTCTGTTGAAAATTTAAGCATGCCATTCATATAACTGTCTTAGCAGAGTAAGCCTACGTATTTTATTTGATGATGTTTTTTATAGTTTCCCTCCTAAGATCCAAAAGCGGGGTCAGTACTGTAGATTAGAATCAATTCAGCAGAGGGAAAATAAACCTTTGGAATATATTTTACCTTCCCTGAGCACGTCGCAGGCATTAGCAATAATGGGAGCCCTGTCTGCGCATGGAGAGGAAGCATCTGCCACTTAGACTCCCAGCCATCCCTGCCCTGGGCTCTGCAGCCCCCTGACCTTCACAGTGGGCACAATGATTCTGGATTCGTCATCTCCTAACTTCATGCTGCTGTGCACAGAACACACACACACACACACACACACACACACACACACACACACACACAATGCTCTTTCCTGGTGGAAGAAAGAGACAGGGGGGTGAGAAGGGAGGGGAGGTCTCCTACTGTGAGCTGCTGAAACACGGCCAGCACTCATGACAGCAACCAAGCTTTCAGGGCACGGAGGGGAACTGACTCTGCCCTTGGTGGCATTGTGCCATCTTTGCTAGGCTACAATTGCCCCGTTTGCTGGTCTTTTCTGAAATCAGGGGGGTACTATGGAGGCAAAGTGGGGGGTCGAGCCCTTCTTTTAGGCTAATTTTTAGTACATTCAGTGTGACCATAAATACAACTTTTCAAACAAATACAGATGCATCAGGAAAAAAAGAAGCCAGCACACGAAGGGTGCTGGACTTGCTATTCAAAGAGCTCACATGCTATCTCCATGCATTCCTTCATTGTAGGACAAGGGTGAATGAGGTAAGGCGCAGAATCCTCCAAGCACACCCTTCCCCTCCTCTCACCAGTGTGAGTCCTGGAGGGGATGACACTGTCACTGTCTGACCTGTTCTACCTTGGCTGCTGTTCCCTCCTCGGCAGAAATTCCAGATAACACTGCTTTTACTTAGTAGATGTTGAAAAGCCATTTGTATTCGGCACCCGTTCTTTCTTCTCAGAGGCCTCACTGGGCTAAGCAGCTGGTGCTGTGGCCTGAGACAAGTCACCTCCACAAGCCTCACTCCTCACTTCTAGAGACCCCGCCAGGAGGGATCCTCCACATCTTTCCTGTCCTGAGTCTTCCAGAGTTCCATGAATGTGGTGTTCGGTGGGAGGTGCCTGAGGCCATCAAAGCCATGCCTGAAATCCAGAGTCATTTTTTAAAAGAAGGCAACTTTGCAGTGTCATTGGCTGTGCAGTTCGTCATTTAGCTGCTCAAAGACAGAAATGGCCAAGAGTTGTTGACGGACATAAGCCCCTCCCAAGTTTGTGGGAGCTGGCCGGAGTGCTGAAGCCGGCCACCATTCACAGCTGAGCCACTCAAAGCCAGCGGGACGCCCCGCTGGTCAGCAATAGTCCCCCCAGGACAGAGGCAGGCAGGAGAGTTCTCAGCAAGTGCCAAACTTAGACTATGGCAGCAGGCATGTAAACAACCCACGGAATTTCAGAGTACATTGCATTCGATGGTTCCCAGACCTGTTGGAGCTATATTTAGCATAGGCAAGTTTGGGAATGGCTCAGAGGGTGTGCAGTGCCATTCAAATGAATATTAAGAAATACTATAGGGTCTTGGAACAAGGAAAAATGTTCTGCAGTTTGGTATCTAGTATGCATTTGTGGGGAAAAAAAAACAACCCAAAACTTCCTCATCCTTAACAGCCTTGGGGTGGGGGTGTGACAAGCCTCCTGAAGCCAGGAATCACCAGGTCCAGCTGGGGAAAGAACTCCACTTACAGTTTAAATTAAATTGTCTGAGCTTCCTTAACTAACCATTTTCTCCCCCACAACCTCTTCCCTCAACAACGTATTTAAGGCAGATTTTATCCATCTTTTTCTTTGTGGCTGTGTAATAATGATTCTCAAAAATCATCCAATTTATCCCAAGCTGAAATACCTGCACCAGAGCTGCTCATCTCCCTGCTGCTCCCAAAGAGGAAGCAAATCAGGGTCACACTAGAAGCCCGCCCTGGTTCCGGGGGAGCAGAAAGCCCTCCCCTCCCTCGCTGTCTGGGTCCAGGACGTGGTCTGTCTGCAAGGCTCCTTACTTTAGCCTGAGGTTCCACTTCCCTATTAACATAGACACAACACTCCACTGAAGCTGAAGTATAAGAAATTTTCTGCTTGATGTGTTTTATGTCCCATTATTTCCCCTGCATGTCACACGCCTCTCTGAGGGGCACAGAAGAATGTGTCTGGTGTAAGCTTTGAGGAGGGTCCCCCACCATTGAAACAGCAGGAAGAAGAGATCAGCTCACAAGGGAATGCATCCAAAGCGTCTCCCTCTGCCCTTGCAGGGACCCAGACTCCCAGGAGTTCGCTCCTGCTCTGGAAGCTTCCTTTGCTTCCGTACATCCATTGCCCACATCCCTAGGATGGCTGTCCCCCTTTTAGTCTGGGGTCTGCTTTCTCAGCACAGCCCGATGGCATGAGGCCGGAGGCAGGTGAACATTAATTAGCTCCAAGTGTGGGGGAGTCGAATCAACTACCACCCCACTCCCCCAAACATCATCACAGCGACCAGGATGTAGTTCCCATTTCCACTGGGTGGGAGAAATCAGGACTGGCACATGGAGTCTATTCACAGCAATTAAAGAAAAACACATAAAGTACATACAAGCTCTCAAGTGGGGGAATTTGACAGGCAGAGAGGGAGGCTGCCTTTCCACATCACGATGGGGACCTTAGTTTCCCTGGAAGAGTCTCTTCTTGGTCACATCCCTAAAGTTAGAGGGTGTGCCCAAACTCCCAGTCGAGATACAGAATCTGGTCACAGATAAAAAGTGTTTCCGTGGAGAGGAGGGGAGGTGGGGAGGTGGGGGATACATCTCTCAGCCCTCTGGATTCCCGGCAACGGCAGGTCATTACACTCACAGTGGGACATTCCTTAAGTGTCCCTAGATGAACCCCAGAGGATCCTTGAACATCTTTAGAACAGAATGGGGACCTCATGCCCCAGGGCAAGGCTCTTCGGGGGTACGCCGCCCTGGTTCCCAGGGTTCAGCAGAAGCAGGCGTCAAGCAGCTCAAATACCCAGGGAGAAGGGGCCCAGCTACAGGAGTCTTCGGGCACCTTCTCAGAGCTTATTCTCAACACCCCTCAGTCACTTCCAGAAACAGCTGCTGCCAGTGACCCAAACAAAGCCAGGGAGAAACTGGGTGGTGACCAGGGAAACAAGTGACCCAGACGCACAAAGAGCTTCCCTTAATGAGGAGGCAGATGAGGGAGGCGACCCAGGTGGACCAAGCAGACTTGGCTCACGTGAGTTCTGTGTCCAGCTGAGGCTACACTGGCATCTTTCAGAACCAGCTCCCCTTGCAAGCCCCCGGCCCACTAATAAGCCATTGACCTGGAGTTTGAGTCTGGGGTTGATTTGCTGCTCTGTCTGGGGGAACCCCAAGGGCCTTGTGGCTTTAACAGGAAGAAACCCTCCTCGACTGGCCAGCAATTGTTTTCCCTCTCCTCCCGCCACACTGATCAAATTAGCGGGCTGCTTCTCCTCAGAGAAAATGTGTCCATGGTCCCAGGAGGCAATGCCCATTTGCCCGTCTGATGGGTCTGGGGAGGGAAAGCAGGGAGGTATGTGTGCATGTGTCCCTTCCCCTGTCCCTGGGAGGGTCTCTCCCACCTGTAATGATCCAGCGGGCAGCGTGGACCCCAGGAGGGGCGGTGCGGGGTCTCAGCTGCAGGAGGCCTGGCAGGTGGCTGCATACACACTGCTGCCCACCGTGGCCCCGCTGCTCAGGCTGCTGGTGGGACACTTGAGGGGCTTCATGCTGCTGTCCCTCTGGATGTGCAAATGCTCGAGCCGCCAGCGCTCCCAGCTCTTCCGAAACTCCATCTGGACCTTCCTCGGGAAAAGGAGGGGAAGAAAAGCCATCATGCCAACCCACTGTCCACAAAATGGCCCCGTTATTACATTAGCAGGGAAGGGAAAAAATCCACTGCAGGATATTAAGAGACACAAGTCAAGGCCTCCGGGCGCCTAAATTAATATCCCAATAAAATTGTTTATTGTTGTCTCCTATTTTCTGCCGCTCTTCGGGAGAGAGATGGGCTTGATGACCTAATTGGTCTTTTCCATCTCTAAACTCCGCGATCCGGCTAAGTACCTTTTACAATCCATCACAATATTAGTTCACGAAAGAGAATGGGAGGGAGAGAGAAGTGCGGGAGACAGGAGATGGGAGAGAGAAGTGGAGAGGAGGGAATCTGACTTCAGGACGTGCTCTCCCACTGCAGCGAGGATGACTCAAGGGGAGATGGAGGAGGAGGGTGCCCCCTGACCCTCAAGCTGTCTACAGCAGACCCTCTAAGCTCCCTGAGGGCTCTGACCCAGCCGCCATGACTCCCAGGAGGAAGGAGCAAAGGAAACAAGGAGGCTGAGACCAGGGGAGGACCAGGGCTTCCCAGCCTGTGCAATCCTGTGCAGGGAGACGGCGGTGAGTCTGGGGGTGCGGCCAGCCCAGCTGAGCTCAGTCAGCCAAAACCTTCATTGTGCTGGGTCGTGGCCTCCCCATAAGAACCACCTTCTTAAGAGGGCTGACCTTTGGGAACCAGATGGATTGTTGGGGGCAGAAACACGGTGGAGCCCCAACCCCTCAAGGGCTTGTGGCAATACTATGGCCCCAACTGTGGTTCCCAGGTTTCTGGAACTTGCACAGCTGGTCCCCACGGGTCTGGACTGCTCTTCTGGGTGGTGTTCCCATAAGTTTGCTTTCCAGAGCTGCTTTGATGCCTTTGCACCCCAACTTCCCACACTGGAGAGTCTAGAACCCAGGCTCCTCTCAGTCCCAAGGCCCCAGGAGGGCCAGCTGCCAGAAGCTGTGGTAAGGGGCTCTCTGCCAATCCCCTCCCCAGCCCCAGAGCAAACAACCCTCCTCTCCCCCTCCTTTGTCATTCATCTAGCTAAGCCCTGCATGACGCCTGGTGTGGCTGCATGCCATCCCTTAAAAGAACTTTTTCTGTGCAGAGTAGAGCTGAGATCGCCCAGAGCCTGCCTGCCAGCATGCGTTGGTATCCCAGGCAGCAACCCAGAACCCAGGCCTGGGTGGGGGAGGGAAGGAGGGCTCCCTGCTCTGCTTCCTGCCCCCACCCCCAGCTTGGGTCCCACCCGAGACCAATGGTGGCCTCCCTTTGTGCAATTACAAGAAGACCAGTCCTACCTCACAGCCCTCCTCTGACGGAAGTGAGGTAGAAAGATGGGGAACTGAGGCACACCCACAGGAACCCACCTCAGAGCCTGAAGAGGTCACAGGGACACCAGCAGGACTTAACAGTACCAGCATGCCACAGTCTCCTTATCTCCATCTCCCTCAGCACTTCCTCCCCCGCCCTCTCTCTCTGGAGCAGGGATTGAGCCCAGGGGCACTCAACCAATAAGCCACACCCCCAGTCCTTTTTTTTTTTTTGTATTTTATTTAGAGACAGGGTTACTAGGGCCTTGCTAAATTGCTGAGGCTGGCTTGGAACTCATAATCCTCCTGCCTCAGCCTCCCAAGCCACTGGTATTATAGGCATGCACCGCCGCGCCCGGTCCTCAGCACTTTTTCTTAACCTCCACGGTGACCCCTGTAATCACAACTGTCCTTAAGAACCACCATCTACATGTCCGGCATTTTTCATAGATTATCTTGGTTAACTTTCTCATCAACCCTACACAGTAGCTCCTGTTCTCATTCCCCACATAAAGACGAAGAAATGGAGTGCAGAATATTTCAGCGTTCCCCGGTGTCTGGGGCAGGATTTGAGTCTAGACCCAGCCTGGCCCCAGTGCCTTGCTCCTCACCCTTGGCCTCCTGCTTGCCACAGTTCTGGAGGCCCTGCTTGTCCCTGGCCCTGTCTCTTCCCCACTTCACATGACTCCCAGCATCTCTGCACTGAGCACAGTCCCCGGGAGACTGCGGGTGCTCACTCCTGTGTTTTAAATGAGCCCGAGGAACTCATGTAAATAAATGGGCCTCTATCACCAGGTTCCTTCTGCTACTCAGTTATGAAAAAGAAAGAACAGGGACAGCAGTCCTGGACACCTGCCCCGGCACTTCCTCCTGCGCCGTTTGATTTCCCTCCTCCCTGCCCTCTGGGCTCTGAAGTGCAGGGCACATATTCCTGGCTCAGGATTCGGGGTGAATCCATTGACACTTGGGGATTTGAGGCAAGGGAGGCAAGGTGACGTGCCCTGGGCCACACACAGTTTGGTAGGACCGAGCCAGGATCAGGACGCATGACTCCCGTGTTACCTCACTTGGACTCTCAGGCATGACCTCCAGATAACTCATCTCCAGGCCCTTCCCTGTCCCCACTCCTGCCCACAAGTAGTTGGTAAAGGCCTTCAGAGTCACAGGGGGCCAACGCTCAAGTCATCTTTTCTCCTCGGGTCATGAGTACCTGGCATTGCCATGGCAACCCTGGGCCTGGAGAATAGCTCTTGTGGGCAGAGGCTTCAACCACGCGTGGCCCAGTGATGGGGATGTGTCTGTCCTTGTACCTAAAAGAACCAGGGCTGAGGAGTCTCTGGGTGGGTTTAAAGGAACTGGGTGATGACCTGAAGGGAGAGGGGCTCTGGGGCCCCCTGAGTGACAGAGCCTGAGGGGAGAGGTCAGCGGGGCCTGGCCTGCCAAAGAGGTGCAACCCTGGGGATTCGGGGTCAAGTTCTTTCCAAGGGCAGAGCACGATGTGTGACCATCCTGCCCTCCTTACACAGTGGGGCCAGCGGTGGATGATGGGTGAGGCGGGAGGGAACTGGGTGACCAGGCTCTAAGGGGTAGAGTGGGGAGATGGGGCTGAGCTGGGGGCCCAGGAGAGACCGCAGCAGTGGTGGGGTAGCTGAGCACTTGTGCATGGGGACAGGGCTACAGTGAGCATGCTGCTACAGGGTGGCTTTGGGGACAGAAGATGGAGAAGTGGGACTTGGGACTGAGAAGGTGACAAGGTGGCCGTAGGGAACCTCGGTCTCTCCTCACAGGCTTTGCTCTTCATCCCCACACAGGGATACATGCTGCCCTGTCCTTGTCCCCATCTCACACCAGGCTGAAATGTGAAGGCCCAGAGTGCAGGCCAGGACCCACTACCCTGGCTGAGAACCACCCCTGAAGGGACGGCACCCTGGGGAGCTGGGGTCCTCGAATGCCAGTATTTGCATCAGCTTCTAAGGAGTTCCTCACGAGGACTGGGCAGTGGGTGAGAAGCGGGGCTGCTGTGTCCTGCGGGTCCTGAGCCTGCAAGATGGATCCCTGAGTGTCCTCATTACTCTTCCTCCTGGACCACCCTCCAAACTGAACCTGGGGGCCCCCGTGGCCTGCCCACAGAAGCAGCCTGGTGCTGCCTCCACGTCCCCAGCTCCACCTGCCCTGAGTGTTAGTGGGATCCCTAACCCCAGCCCACTGGCCCTTCCACTTTCTAGCTGTTGAAGTGGGGCTACTTATTTCCCCTTGTTGAGTCTTAATTTTCTCATCTGAAAAATGGGGCTCACACCTGCTGTGCAGGGTTGGCTGCACCTGAGCACCTTATCTGTAGTAGGAAACACTGGCTTCCCCGCACTTGGAGATGGGAAGGCCACGCACTCCAGCCCCTTAGGAGGCCAGTTCAGGGGAAGCTGGAGGAGGCCACAGGGACAGGAAATGTCCCCTCCCTTTCACCCAGTCTCATTTTCTCTGCAGGGTCCTCTGAAATGTCCTAGGCCCTGGTCTCTGGGAATCACTGAGCACTGGGATGTCAGGGACTGGCTCCCCATTACTGAGCATCAGGAGATGAGGTACACACTGCCTCACGTCAATTAATAACTCTGAGGAGCCGGGGTGGGCCTTCAGTGCCTGGCCTTGATGGAAGGCCCTATTCTTGGCTCCCCCTTCCTGTCTTTTCCAGACTTTATTTACCTAATCCCCAGGAATCTCAGAGGTGGGCATCCTGGCCTTCCTCATCATTTTGTAGATGAGGAAGTTCAGACAAAGTCACGCAGCTCATTAAGTGACGGGGCCTGGGTCGGAGCAGAGGTCTGACATGAAGCCCACATCCTTGCCTCTTTCCTGCTGTCTCACATGGCTTCCCTGAGTCAATTCACAGTTCCATGATCTATCTGCTGTCCCTTGCTCATCCCCGACGCTGGCGGCCAAAGACACGTCTGCATGAATGCACGAAGATCTCTGAGCTCTGGAATCCCGGGTTCAGTGACACAGAAATCACACGAAGAGCTCCAGGTCTTTGAGGCCCAGTGTCCCTAGGTCTCCTGAGTCCCACAGACGCAAACCCTCACGGTGGCCTCAATGGCCCAGGAGTTAACAGAGTCCCGCATTTCCTTCCAGACTACGTGTGGAGAGCTGCCCCGACCCCTGCCCAGGGCTAACAGTGTTGTGGCTACTTCCCCAGGAGCCCTGGAGCTGCACCTGTGGCTACTGTCCCTTCTGGATGGGTCTGGCAGGGGGAGAAGCTGTGGCATTTCTGATGCTCAGTTTGATGGCTTTGGGGACATTTCTATGCTCTGACAAAACCCAGGAACCTTGGCAGAGGGGCCTTTCCTATGTGCCCACAGACATGCCCCTCCTCCCGGGACCTCCAAGTAAAAGGGAGGGAGGGCTGTGGTTCTGCAGGTGTGGGGTCAGCAAGAACCTCTTCTCCCACTCCACGGGGTGCTGAAGGCCACCCAGCCCCAGAAAGTCTCCCCTTTCCCAGGGAGCAGCGGAGCTCTTGCCTGTGTATAGAAAGAGCAGGATGCTTTCTTCTGTAAATCAGAATTCACTTGAACACCGGCTCTGCCACAATTTCTGAGCCAAACCTGGGGCACTTTTCCTGCACACTCTCACTTCAATGTTCTCAGGGGTGGGGTCTGGGAATGTTGAAATCAGAATTTTGGCAGGCATTTTTTTTTTTTTTGGTGGGGAGAGGGGTGGCAATTAAGTGAGATAGTGATTACTAAAGCCCAAGTATGTGGCTTGGGCATGTGTGTGTTGAATCACCTTGGAACAAAGAGTAGTCCCCACCCTAGTAATTCACTCAGGACCCCCTGCATGGCCCTGGATCCTCCCCAAGTTCTCATAGTGACAGGAGAGAAGGGGGGAGGGGGGGAGGGACATGAGAGAAGTATACAGGTGAGCCAAGCATGGAACTGAATATGCAGACCAGAGGCCTCCTCGACTCTAGGGGGTGAATAGGGGGTTTCCACTGGAAAGACTGGTGGGAGTCCCCTCCGCACAACTCCAGACCAGCCAGTGGTACAGCCCAGGGGGATCCCCCATCCCTCCTCAGACCTTACCTCGCTGTTGACAAAGCAGTATAAGATGGCCACCATCAGCCCCTGGAAATGAGAGGCAGGTCAGCAGAGGGCAGGGTGGCAGGGGCTCTGCGGCAGGCCCTAGTTGGAAGGGCCCTGAGCCTTCTGCCCTGACACCCCCCTCCCCAAATCAGGCAGCCCAGGCAGACCCAGGGACTGACCATGGTTCCTTCCTCTCCCTTTCTGGAGGGACAAGAGGCCCTTGGCTCACACCTGCAAAAGTGCTAATACCCTTTCTCCTGAGGAGGCCAGATGCAGGGAAGCACAGCACCTCCAAACAGGGAGAATTCTCCCACCCCAGCCCCCTCAGAAGACCCAGTGCTCCAGCACTGTGTTCCACTAGTGTGTGTCCCCGCATGCACACGTATGTAAATGCACACGTGTGGGCCCATGTGCTTGTAGGCCTCCTATGACACTCTGAGGGGCTGGGGTCAGTAACATTGTTACACCACTGAAGCAGCTTCTAAAGGTAGTAGAGGGCTACTTCTTGTTTTAGTACTTTTGAGCCTCGGTTTCCTCCTCTGTCGAATGAGGGTAACTGCATTCTGGGAGAATTAAATGCCCCATGCATGAAGCACATGGTAGGGTGCCCACCATTCAGAAGATGGCAATTGTGAGGCAGGCTGGGTGCCCAGGATCACATCTGAGAAGAAGAATTTTTTTTTTTTTTTTGGTACTGGGGATTGAACCCAGGGGCACTCAACCACTGAGCCACACCCTCAGCCCTTTTTTTGTATTTTATTTAGAGACAGAGTCTCGCTGAGTTGCTTAGTGCCTCACTTTTGCTGAGGCTAGCTTTGAACTTGCCATCCTCCTGCCTCAGCCTCCCAAGCCACTGGGATTAAAGGTATGAGCCACCACACCCAGCCTGAGAAGGATTCTTGTGCTATGTGCTTACAGAGAAAACTGGCCAGCATGTCAGGACACCTGGGGGTACTGGCTCTGGCTCTAATCTGACCACGTGACTCTGGGCAGGGGTCACCCCCAGGCCTGCTCATTTTTCCCACCTGCGTGATGCAAGCTATGTCTGTCCCTCCCCCATTCTGGAAGTTCCCAGCTGAGAGTCACCTGGAAAGAGGTGAAGGACAGCTCTGTGAACAGCTTGATGAAGCGCAGGGTTCCCCGGGCATGTTCGTCCATCACGAAGGCAAAGATGACCTCGTGGGTCCCCAGCAGGGGGATGAGCGTCAGTGTGGACTTGGCAAGTCTGGGGGAAGGGGAGACCTCTGGAGTTATTCTGGACCTTGCACACCAATTCTTTTCTCCATCTGTGCCCTCCCCTCTTCCTGCCAGGACCTGGCATCTGGGTCACGGTCACTCCCGCCCTCCCAACCCCCTGCAAAGCCCAGGGGCTGCCCAAGAACAAGGTGAGGGAAAGGCTTGGGGCTCCTAGGTCAGGTCTGGGTGGGAGAAGTGGTTCCTAACCCTAACTCGCCCTCCTAACTAAGCGTCCCCGTATCTCTCTCTGCTAGAAACGAGGGCTGAGGGGCCCCAGCAAAGCCAGCTTGGTGAGGTCACCTGCATTTGATGTCTGTCTTGCACATGAGATTGGCCTTCAGTTTGGACACCACGATGCAGATGACCCGGACAAAGATGAAGAAGTTGACCTGTGGAGCACGTGGGCAGGTGGCTGGGGACCCTCCTTGCACCCTTGCCCTGGCTCCAGCCCACCATAGCTCCCACGCCCATCCCCCTACCCACCATCACTCACCCCAATGGCAAAAAGAATGGGCAGTCGGATAATGAGCCAGTAGTTCATGTTGGAGTTCCTGGTCCAGCAGCTGGGGGAAGGGGAGAGGCACACGATGCATCCAGCTGATCTCAGGGGCCACAGATGCATGTGGCCACACAGTCACACCCATACACACAGAGTCCCCAATACATGGTCACACAAAGGGAGATACCCAGAGTCCCCAACAAGTATTCATGGCCCCATGAACACAATCCTGTGTGTACCCAGCATCATACACAAAATAACAGAGACATTCACTCACAGACATACAAAAAAATCCTGCAGGAAGGCACCATGTGCCCCACGGATCTGCACCGTTTGTTATCACACCAACCATGGGCAGGGGCCAGAGCAGGGATTAGAGAATCGCATTCAAATGTTAAGCTCCTGGTCCCTCTGTTTATCCTCCCAAGGAATCCAGTGGACTTTGAGGATGGGGATCTTAGCACAGCCATGCGCTTGGCACAGGACACTCACCCCTCATCTTCATAGAGGTACTTGACGATGCCCCAGGGGATGACAAACAGCAGGGGAACACCTGAGAGGAGAGAGAGGGAGAGAGGGGACAAAGGCTGGCAGGCCACAACTACTGCCATGCATGCCCAGGAGCCCTGCCTCATCTGGCCCTCTGCTTGTCTGGCCCCAAACCACGTTTCTAGGGGGGCCTGGGTGCACAGGAGAACCAAGGCGCAGCAGGAACCCCACGCTGATGCCCTGCACTCTCCCTTAGAGAGGTCCTCACAGTCCAGCCCTCCCCCACCCCAGGTACTTGGTCAGGACTTGCTCCCAGGATCCTGGCAGAGACACTGGGACACGGACACCCCACCCACGCAGCAGGGGACAGGGCTGTGCAGTGGGGAGGACGTGCTGGACGGGATAGGGGACAGGCACACCCTCTGATGCTCTTGTCCTCAGTTCTTCCTACACACCACTCAGTCTCCCCCTCCAGGCACCCGAAGTCCCTTCAGTGCTTTGTTCCCTATGCCCATTCTCTGCTCAGGGCGGAAGCCTGGAGGAGAGACGGGGGCCTTGTACTGGACACCAACATGCCCACTGAGTGCCTGCAGCCTTCAACAACAACAGCCGCAACAGCAGTGAGGCCCCTCCGCTTGGCCGAGTGCGTAACGTGGGTGAGCACACCCCAAGGTTCCCCGGGTGGTGCTCATGGGAAGTGGTGGGACTGGTAAGAGGTGGGGACTTGGAGGAAGTCCTTAGGTCACTGGGGGATTTGGGGACCCCTGATTGCCTAGCCTCTCCCTTTGACTTCCCGGCCAGGAGATGAGTGCTTGCTCAGCCACATGGGTCCTTCCATTGCCATCCAGGACCCCTACCAAAGGCCCAAAACAATGGCTCTGTCCAATCCTGGACTGGAAACGACAGAAATATGAGCTAAATAACCCTTTTCTCTTTATAAGTTAATTATCTCAGGTATTCCATTATAGTCATGCAAAGCTAATCCAGCTGAGACAGACTGGTGTCGTAGATGTCACCCGGTGATTCTTACCTCATGGTATTCATAGCCTTGAGTAATCCCCACTATATCAGGATGGTTTTGTGTGACCAATCACATATGGCAGGAGTGATGGTGTGTCACGTTTGAGATTAGGTTATAAAAAACTCTGCATCTCGCCTGGGGCTCTCTCTTTCTCTCATCATTCACTGCAGGGAAATCAGTTGTCACCCACGAGGGCACTCAGATGACCTGCAGAGAGGCTCCCGCGGCAAGGAATGAGGCTTCCTGCCAACAGCCTCCTGAGTGGGCTTCGAAGTGGCTTCTCCACCCCTGGTTAAGCTTTGAGATGACAGCAACCGGGACCTTCAGCTTAACCAACCTCAGTCAGCAATGCTGGGCCAGGGGCACCCAGGTAAGTTGAACCTAGATTCCTGAGCACAGAGACAGTGAGATGATAAATGCTTGTTGCTTAAGCAGCTAAGCTTGGTCTACATCCATTAGTTACACAGCAGTGGATAACTCATAGAACAGTTTCTAGTTCTGCAAAGGTAGAGCCCAGGCCTCACTCACCCTGAGAGCTCCATCTGTCTTGGTTAATTGAACATTGGATTATCCACTCTTAGGTGGCAAAGAGATGGATCAGGAGCTCAGAAGCACACAGTGGGACTAGAATCCAGGGCTGCAATCTCTCATCCACTCCGATCACCCTCCATTACCACTCTTTCCATGACTGTCTCTACCAACGCAGCTCTCGAGTTGGACATGTGGGCATCTGCGATGGGTAAGGCTTTGGAGGGTGAGGTGTGTGGACATGGATGGGTGTGTGGGGTGGAGGTGGGGTCCTTGCATGTGCCTGTGTGGCTTTGAGGGGTCTCCCCCAGGAGCACCTTTCCGGGGCAGAACCTCCTCAGAGCCACCACATCATCAACATCCTCAACTTGCTGATGTCCACACAACAGCAGCTACTCAGCGGCTCATGTGCCCGGGTCTACTGTGCCTGATGACGCAGGCGGCGGGAGGATGGAAAGCTCTCTTCACCGGGTCTCTTTCTCCTGGCCCATTTACATTTACACAAACCAGACCCTCAGTATCCACAATGACACAAAAATAGACCTGCGTGAGACCGGACAGGAAGTGGATGACTTCGAACAGCCCCAGAACAGAGTGTGGGCCCTACTGTGAAGAAGCTGTTCCGTAAGAACAGGACCAATGAATGAATGAGTCAACCACCAAGGAGGGGAGGGAAGCTCTCCAGGCCAGAACAGGCCCCCTCCTGAGTCAAACACACAGACAGAAACTTCCTGTGGGGCATCTCCAGCCACCTGCCGTCCCTTCCCTCTGAGACCCTGCTCCAGGATGGGGGAGCTCACTCATGTACTCAGCCAGGGAGAGCTTCATACCTCCATTACCATCTCCCAAACAAAGTCTTTTTGAAAAGCAAGAGCACAACCCTGCCACATGCAAAACTGCCCAGTCCAGGATGGCCAAGTCAGGTGGGGTGGGGGACAGAAAGGTCAAATTAAGACACAGAGAACCGGCTCTGAGAGTGATGTTCCCCTCCTCCCTCACTCGCCTTCCTTCCCCTGCCGTTTCCAGGGGTACCCAACCACTCACGGACCGTGACAGAGGTTGATTTGTCTTTTGGGGGTTTAGCCCAACTGCACTGGAGTCCTAGTTCTGATTCTGCTTGTACAGGAAGCCTAAAGTTGTTCCCGAGCATCCTAATTTGGACCGGGCCTCCTGGCATCACAACAGAGCCCTAAGGTCCCTGTGAGTCCTGCCCACCCCCCTCTGTTCCGTTGTCTTTGTCTCTCTCTGCCTCTCCCTACTCCAAGTCCTCAAGTAGAAGACATTCTTTGGTTGGGGAGGGCATCTGCCTGGTCCTGCCTTCATACTCCACAGACCCTGAGCCCCAAGCTAGGATGTGAGGTGGCAGGAAAAAGGCCCCTTCCCCCACCGCCCACCCAGAGACCTCCAAGGCACCTGTGTATCCCTGCCAGCCCCACCAACCTCCCTGCTCTGCTGCACACCACACCATCCCTTTGATTGGTCCTGCCTTCAGGTCGCTATGGTGACAGGCACTAACAGCACTGATGCTATTTCCCAGAATGAACAGACATGGTCCCCCACCCTGAGGACAGCCTTGCCTCAGCAGCCCTCAATGACCTGCCTCCTCCCCAACCCAGGGAGCTGCAGGGCTCTTCAGCTGCCTGATGGACTGCCAGGCAGGATGAAGAAGGCTGGGAGGTGAGGAAGGGCCTCCTGGGAGCAGGTGGGAGGGTCCTGGGGGAGGAGGTGGAGGGAGCAGCGGGGATCTGCACTGGGAAGTCAGGCCTACTGCCACCTGAGCAGAGGCCTGATCCTGCTGAGGGGCCTGTAGAACACTGAAGATCTGGAGCACCAGCCAAGCCCCCTTGCAGGTGTCCCAGGAGCTGGGAGCCCCGGGCTACACTGCCTGCTCTTCTTCTAAGGCCCTGTCCCGCTCTAGGTTTTGGTGTCTGTAAGACACTGGTCACCCTAAAACCTCTCCAGAGCGTCTCTTCTAGGATGGAGCTGAGGCACGCCAGAAAAAATGAATGCCACATGAGGACAGAACAGGAGGCTGAGGGCTGGGGAGGGCAGAGCCCTGAGGGCCTAGCAGCCTGAGGAAGCTTCCAGAAGACAGGGCTGGCAGCCCCTGGGAGGACGCTCCAGGACATTCCTGGACCAAGAACAGACTTGTAAAGGCTCAGAGGAGGACCAGGAGGGAGAAAGGTGGCAGGCATCTGCTGGAGCAGAGCTGGGAAGTCCTGGAGTCCTGGGCAGCACTGGCCAAAGTTTCCCAGGGGAGGTGCATGAAGGGAAATGCACAGCCAAGCATGGGAGGTGGTGAGGTGTGTCTGCCAGACACGCAGAGCCCACGGCAGATTGGGGGTCAGTGGGCAGGGCCTACTCTGGGCTCCGTCCCCGGTGGTGCCCGTGGGCTCCTCCAGGAAGGGTTGTCACAAGCTGGTGGTGCAGAGCTCCTAGCCCCCCGCGGAACTCCAACGGGCCCCTCATCACTATCCCACGAGGCGAGAGGCAGAAACACAACCAGAAATGTTCCAGCAAAAAAAAAAGACACAATGGTTCTTGGCAAACTTTTTTGGCTAGAACATTTCCGGCTGGGCTCCAGGCACATCCGTGGTCCACCCGCTTCCTGGGCTCTCCTCTCACCCTCCTCTTCATCACCATGAGACAGAAGCCCGTCCCCTCAGGCCCCATCCTCCTGACCACTCCTCCTCGAGCCAGGACTCACCACTGCCCTCAGAGCCTAGGGTTGCCCTGGCCTGGTGTGGAGGTCCTTCCCCACAGGACCTCAGAAGCAGGGGTTTGTGGACAGTGCCATGTCCTCCGTGGCTACATGGTTGTGGCAGAGGGTGGTATTTGGCCGGGGGGTTGGAGGTTTCCATTATGGGAGGACAGTTACACGTGGGGTACGGACCCGTAACCCCTTGCAGTGCCCAGTGATCCCCTCAGCGAGAGGTCCCGTGCTCAGGACTAATCGGTGGGCTCTGCCTCTTGGCCTGGCAGGGTGTTCTGGGCACCAAGTTGGGAGGGGCGTCAGGGTCTCCCACCCCCATGCGGCAGGTCCAGGTGGGGGTCCTGTGAGTTCAGTGACATGACATGGCGGTGGGCCTTACCCCAGCCTACGCTCAGGTAGACCCTGAAGATGCGCTGCTCCGAGAAGACGGAGAAGGCCAGCAGAGTGTACAGGTAGACGCCCTCCACCAGCAGCCAGTAGTAGTTGGCGGCCACGCAGTACTGCATGAGCAGGAACACCAGGCGGCAGCCCAGGGAGTCCTGGGGGCAGGGGAACGGCACGGTGAGATGGCAGCCCTGCCTCCTGCTAGGCTCTTGCTACCCTTCCCTGTCGGCCCCAGCTGCTGGCCTGCCATGGTCATGCGGGATGAGGGCGCTCACATCCTCTGGCCAGGGCTGTGCCAGGAAGGTCTGCCTTAGCTCGGGGAGCACGGTGATGTCACCCCCACGCAGGGGAGAAGCAGCCTCAGAGGGGTTGATGACACAGCTCCCAGGGGCAGACGGCTCTCTTGGGTCAGACTGAGAACCCCCGGGGACAGGGTCTTCACCCTGAGACTGGACTCTCTGGTGAGACGCCTCTCTCATTGGAATGGAAGGTCCCAAAGGGGACTGCCTCTCCCATGGGACTAGGGCTCCCTGGGGGTCAAGCCCGGGCAGCTCTTGCCTCTCCTGTCCCAGGCCTAAGTGGAGTGGGAGGAGCAGGGCTTCACCAACCATCCGCCACCACCCCCCAGGCGCCTCCGGGGCACAGGACACACCTGGTAGGAGAGGAGCCCGTCCCACTGGTGCTGCTGGGCGGCTGTGCTGTACATCCACTTGAGGGCCGCGTCCTTGATGAAGACGGACAGCGCTCGCAGGATGAAGGATGCAAACAGGTTCAGGTGGATGTAGTTCCGGGTGCAGTGCAGGTGTCTGAGGGAGAAAGCAGGCCCATCCCTGGCAAGATGGCCAGCAGTCCTGCTCTGCAAGCCCCAGCTCTCTGGCCACACCACTGGGTATGATTCCAGCTCTTCCTTCCTCTTCGAAGGCCCTTCTCCCCCATAGCCTGGAAAACCTTCTGGTCCAGCTCAAGTCCTGCCTCTCTATGAAGCCTCAGCTGTCAGGCACTGCCCCGTCCCCCGACCATATTCTGTCACCCTGCAGCCTCTACATTCAGTCACCCATGTGCCAAGAGATGTATGTGTGAGGCTCAGCCTCCCCAGTGGGGACTTGGGTTCTTTGTGGCAGGGTCCCTGTGTTAAATGCCTCTGGCCTGCTCCCTGAGGCAGAGCAGGCAGAAGGCACTGGACACAAGGTCAATATCCTTCGTGTAAAAGGTATAGCCAATGGAAACTCCGAGGGCAGTTCTTAAGGTGAAAAAGGCTATCTATCTACCCAACCAGAGAAAACATTATTCTTTTTTAAAAAATATTTTTTAAATTGTCAATGAACCTTTATTTTTTAAATTTGTTAATTTATTTAGATGTGGTGTTGAGAATTGAATCCTCCCACATGCTAGGCAAGTGCTCTATCACTGAGCCACAGCCACAGCCTAAAACATTATTTTTAACTGAGAAACTTTGAAAATATTTACGTTAAAATCAGGAACAAGATAAAGACCTGCACTATCATCACCTCTATTCAACATGTACTTCAGATCTTAGCCACCAAAATAAGGCCAGAGAAAAAAATGGGCAAGAATTGAAAATAAACAAAATGGCAATTATTTGCAGATGATGTATTATCTTCATGAGAATCCAAGTCAGCATACAGATGAGTTATTAGAAAAAGTGAGAGGGTTCAGTAAGGTTGCTGGTATATACATTTACACACACCAGCAGCAAACACTTAAGAAGTGAATTTAAAGAGTAATTCATTTATAATATTTTAATTGATTACCTAGAAATAAGTCTAACAAGAAAGTGGGCAAAATCATTATGGAGAACAGTATAAAACTTACTTCAAATCATTAGGGAAATCTTAAATTAATGAAAATCACCTGTCTATTCTATACTTAAGGTTAAAAAGAGACATTGTCCTGAAGGAGTCGGTTAGTTCTTCCCACATTAATCAATAAATTCAGTGCAGCTGTAATAAAAACACCAACTTCTTTTTTTATGGAACTTTAACAACTTTAGATGCTCGGCACAGTGTCACATGCTTATAATCCCAGTGGCTCAGGAGGCTTGAGGCAGGAGAATCACAGGTTCAAAGCCAGCCCCAGCAACTTAGCAAGACCCTAAGGAACTCAGCAAGACTGTGTCTCAAGATAAAATATTATAAAGGGTTGGGGATGTGGCTCAGTGGTTAAGTGCCCCTCGGTTCAATGCCTGCTTAATTTTTTTTTTTTTTTTTTTAAGAGCAGAGGGCCAGGAATAGTCCAGAACTCCTAAAGAATCACTAAGTAGGGTCCCTGTTATAATAGAACTAGGAGTTTTAGTAAATCTTTTTTTTTTTTTTTTTTTGTATCAGGAATTGAACACCCAGGGCACTTATCCACTGAGCCACATCCCCAGCCCTTTTTTACTTTTTATTTTATTTTGAGACAGGGTCTCTAGGGACTCACTAAGTTGTTAGGCTGGCTTTGAATTTGCTATCCTCCTGCCTTAGTCTCCCAAGCCACTGGGATTATAGGCATGGGCCATCATGACCAGCTCTAAAAAATCTTTAGGAGAAAGTCACCATGGTTTTGGGACAGGGAAGATAAACAGACCAATAGAAAAGAGTATAAATGACAGAAGCCAACTTGCAAATATATAGGCATTTCTGGTATGGTAGAGTGATACTGCAAACCAAGAGGGGAGGCATGGGTAACCAGTAAATGGTAATGAGACAATCAATTATATATACGCATGGAAAAATGGAACTAAGCCCTTGATTTTCACCATATACAAAAATAAGTTTCAGGTGGATCAGAGAACCACAGGGAAAGAGCAAAAACTCTCTTTTAGAAGGAAATATAGGTGACTATCTTTGTGATTCTAGGATGGGGTAAGATTCCTTACAGAAAAGCATAAAGTAAATTTAGTCTTTGGAAAAGAATAAATTTTTTTATCAATTGATAAAAGTTAATTTTATCAATTGACAACATTTATTGATAAGTTATATCAACAGGAAATAATAGAATAATTTCAACCCATTAAAATGTAGAACTTCTATGCATAAAGGGCACCATGGAGTGAGTAAAGAAACAGAGACTCAGAGAGGGTACATCCTGGCTTAGTATCTAGAATAATGAGTGCCTGAGATAAACAAGAAAAAGCCAAATAGACAAATAAAAATTCAGCAAAGGATATGAACAATCAAGTCATAGAATAAACCATGAAAAAAATGCCTGAGAAAATAAAATTTAAAAATTAAATGCAAATTAAAATTGTAATGAGATATTTCACATACTTCAGAGTAGCGACACTTAATTTCTAAAAATATTAAATATTGGGGAGGAAGTTAAGCAAAGGATTCTCTTTTACTACTGAGGAGAGGGAAAATTGGTAATGACCACTTTGAAGAGCAAGTTTACTACCACCTAGTAAATTTGCAAAAGCAGGTGGTCTTTGATTGGGCCGTTGAACCCCTAGATACATGCCCTAGGGAGACACAGGACGGGTCACAGGTGAGAAAGCCCGTCATAGCAAGGTTTATAAGTCAGAAATAAGCTATCTATTAAAATGATATCAGACAAATAAGCCGTGCTACAACAAAAGAATATGGAATGACTGTTAAAATTAATGATATAGAACTACCTGGTTAATGTGAATCTCACAAAAACATAATGTTGAACCAAAATAAAATGCAGAAGAATATGTATGATGTACTATTAAAAATACACAAAGCCATGCTGTATATTTTTACAGATACTTAGAAATGTGGTACAAGGATGAGGAAATGAGTGGGACCTCATAAGAGGTCCGGCCAGGGGTTTCCTCTGGTGGGGGTGGCCAGGGGCTGATCTTACAGTCACCAGGGAGTGTGACTCTACTTGAAGGCTGGATGCATTCATCACTGAAAGGCTTCATAATAAAAGAAAAGAATATTAGTCCAGTGAATGCATTTATTGAGCACTGACTGTGTGCTCAGCACTGTGCCAGGTGACTTGGGGGCAAGAAGAGGAATCCCATATCTCCTGTTCCTGCTGGGCTGGTGTCCTGAAGTCCCTGCCCTCAGAGTTGTCCCCACTCTCAGAAGTCTTCCTGTCCCTGAACCCAACTCCCCTGATGTACCCAGAGAGAATGGGAGGAACCTGCTCCCCAGCTCCTAGTCTAGGAGGAAGGTCTCGTCTGACAGAGCAGAATTTCTAATCACCTAAAATCATACGGAATTATTGATTACTGAAGACACACCCTCTCACTGGAGAGGATCCCCAGGATTTTCCACCCTGATAAGGTGAGGGGGGTCACTTTTGCATACACGTGGACATAGTTACCCAGCAGAGATCTGAGTGCATACACAGTGCTGACCTGCGTTTTCAACCTGTGTTCTCCAGAGAGTTCCAGAAAGAAGGGCGTATTGTAAGGTTGCTTTGGCTTAGGGTTCCCCTCCTCTACGTGGGGCAGAGAGCATGAAGGAGCCCCCTCCCAGGGTCTCAGCCCCTTACCTGAAGCTGAGGAGGATGGCGGAGGCGATGACCAGGGCGGAGAAGGAGAGCGCATAGCCCACCGTGTAGATGATGTAAAGGGACAGGAGCTGCTCCTCCGGGGAGCCCTGTGAGCACAGGGGGACACAGTGAGGGTGATGCCGTCCACTGCCCCCTCATTCCTCACACTTCTCTCCAGGGGATAAGGACAGGGAGGGCCCCAAGGCAGACCCCACTGGGGACCCCAGAACCGAGGAAGAGAATGACCTATGGACACGGCTTCCGAGGCCCTGGGAAGTTCCCAGGCCCCAGAAGGTGCGACAGGGGGTGCATGAGAGGAGCACAGACAGGCCCCCCAGAAGCCCACCGTGGAGACCCTGCTGCTGGGTCCTGGGCTCAGAACTCCTCCCAAACTCACTTTCTCCCCTCGCTTGGACTCCTCGCACTCCGACAGGTCCCTCCATGGCTGGCTGGAGTTGTCCTTGTGCAGCCAGAGGCCCTCCGCTGTGCAGAACCGGTACACGTGGCCCTGCGGCACTGGGAGAGGAGAGGGTGGCTGAGCCTCCGCCTGGAGACAGGCGGCCTGTCCAGTGCTCGAAGGCCCTTGTCCTTCCCCATCCTGAAGGTCATCCCTGCTCCACTTGTGAGACAGTAGGAGGCTCAGACCTCACACACACACACACACACATACACACACACACACACACACACACACACACCCCTTCATCCCATTCCATAAACCATGATGGCTCCGGGGTGGGACAGCAGGTCACTAAGGTGGACTGGTCACCCAGTCCCACCCTCAGCTTCTCCTCTTGGCTACCAGAGGATGCAGAGGGATGAGCCCATATCTCTGAGATGAGGTCAGTCCAGTCCAGATCCACGTCCGAGCCCCAGCATTAAATCACACACAGGGGACCCTGCCACAGTCACCTTCTGTGACTTCTGATTTTCTAACTTGGCCCCATTTACCTCTCACACTCTTTGGGGACGTCAGATCCTAAGAAAACTGAAGACCCCGAGGCTCTGAGCTCCTGAGAGAAGGAGTTAGCCCCTACCTCAGGGTGCCCCAGTCTGGGGGGAGACATGCCCCTGTCCTCAGAGAATCCTAGTCTGAGGGAAGATAAGGCTCTGTCTTCGAGGAGACCCAGTCTAAGAAGACCTAGCTCTGTTCGCTGAGGGGAGATACAGCCCAGTCCGCAGGGAGACCCCGTCTGAGGCAGATGTCCCAGTGATGCCCAGTTGAGGGTGGACACAGCTTTCCTTTTAGGGAGTCCCAGTCAATCTGATCCAGGACACAGACTCCCCTTCAAAGACCACCCGATCTAAAGGGCACACAGTCTCCACGTGCAGGTGGACTTCCCCTTCCAAGGGGTTACTACAAGTAACCCCTAGTCATACCTGGAGATGGAAACAGCCCTTGGAGACCTCCTAGTCTGAGAGAGGGGAATGACCTAGCCCCTGCCCTCAGGTAGCGCCTAGACTGGGGACGAGGCACAGTCAAGACTCTCACGAGAAAGGAATACCACCAATAGAAACCAGCAGAGATGAGAGAGGCCTAGCAGAGCTAGGAGAGGATACCACCTGTGGCCATTCCCATCCCACCTGGGTACCCAGGTGCTAAGAGCATCCCCACAAGCCCCACGGTCCTCCCCCACCCCACCCAGGGAGACAGGCTTACAGTCCCGGGTTGGATGTGGGGTGGGGAGAGCGCTTACTTGTGTCTAGGAGGAAACACCTCATTCCTCACCTCCCTGCAGGGGAACCTGAGTCTGGCACCGGGCCGGGGAACAGGTCAGGGACAGAGGAGTTGGCACTGTGATCGAGGAGGGAAGCTGGCTGGGAACACTTTAAGATTTTAAATTCTAAAAGACTAGAAGGTTTTAAAGATCAGCTTCCTGAGCTGTGTGAGGCAGGCACAGTGAGAGAGAGGGCGGGGCGGGGAGAAGCCACCAGAGGTGCTGGGTGACAAGTGGCTGGTCAGTGCTCAGGTCGAGAGATCAGCAATAAAATGAGGTTAGCGAACATGCGTGTGCCAAGGAGTGTCCCTCAGGGGCTTGGAGGGTGACCTTCTAATCCAGGGGCTCTATTTTACAGATCCTAAGGTTGTTGTCACATGGCAAGGAGATCTTTATCACAGGGCCTAGTTCCTATTCCAGACTGGGCCTGTTGACTGGACCTTGTCCTTGTCTTTCCTTCCCTAATGCATCCTGGACTTGCAGCGGTACTCCTTCGGGAGGACCTGTGTTTTATTTATTTGTTTATTTTTTGGCAGTGCTGGGGATTGAACCCAGGACCTCTCACCTGCTTGGCAAGTGCTCTACCACCGAGCCACCTCCCCAGCAGAACCTGCATTTTAAAAGAGACTTCACCTGGGAGAGAAATGAGAACCCAAAATCTAATGGTAGAACTTCTGGCAGTGGAATGAGCACAGGGAACCCCTATAATGCACTGATGAACAAAATCAGGCACATGTAAACCCAGAGAAGGGGAGGCGCATGGTCTCATTTTAGTAACTTGAAGGGCTCCTCTCGGGTCCCCAAATGCCTCTTCTATCTGCTGCAGGATGCCTGAGATCGTTTCCTGGGGGTCAAGTCATCTGATAGGCAGCAAGACCAGTCTTTGGCTGTAGATACCTTGAAGAGCAGTAACGGGGACCTGAGCGGACTCCATGGGCAGTGAGCAGGTGTCAGAGCCTGGTCTGCAGCTGGGTATCCACAGAACCAGTTTCTGAACACCTGCTGCGTGCCTGACACCTGTGCAGGTAGGCATCGTCAATCCCATTTTACACATGAAGAAACAGCCTCCGAGAAGCTAGGTGACTTGCTTGAGATCAGGGGGTTAGAAGTAGCAGAGCCAGGCTTCTAGCTCTCTGCCTTCAGAGGACAGAAGTTAGCAGCCAGACTTGCTGCTAACAGTCCACCATGTCAATCATGGGCCAACTGGTCTCTTTGCCATTGCGGCCCCGGGGGAGCTTGCATTCCTCATGCCCCCTGTTCAGGGCCAGCTGGGGGGTTGGGGAAGCGGTGTGCGCACAGATGTGTACATTCTTGTCACAGAGTCAGGGAGCACCGTGTCACTGAGAAGCTCAGTCAGCCTGTGCAAGTGCATCTGTCAGTTATCCTTCATTAGCATCAAATGTGAAAAGCCAGGGCTGCTTCCTGGCCGAGCCCGGGGTCCCCAGGCGCCCGTCCTGGCTGGAGGTGGGCTGGGTTTGGACCCAGACCTGCTTATCGGCCCAGCTTTATCTGGCCTGGGAGGAGCTGGTCAATCACAGCCTGGGGCTTGGCTCCGTCTTGTCAACACAAGGAGCTGCATGCCAGGAGGCTCAGGGATATTTCATTAAGTCAGACCCAGGTCTAGAAATAAAACCCCAATTAAACACTTCCCCTCCTGGAAACTGTCGCGGCGCCTGTTATCGAGCTAACAGCCGCCCCGTCCATGAGGATGTGGGCACTCAGGGCTGTGGAGAGCAGCTCATGAATCCATTAGCTCCTGCACCCTGGCAGCAGAGGCAGCCATCAAGGGCCACTGGGTCCATTGTACAGATGGGGATGCTGAGACTCAGAGAGGCAAGGAACAGGCCCTCCCCAAACTGGCGGGAAAGGTAACCTGGAGCATCAGGGCTCAGGAGAAGGAGCCCAGGTTCCCAACTCCACGGACACAAGTTCAAATCCTGGTTCTGCCCTCAACCAGCTGTGGGCCCTTGGGGGTCTCAGTTTCCTCATCTGTAAAATGGGAAGCAAAATGACTTTCTCAGGAGATAAAACAGTGAAGTTTCTGGTGCATGGCAGACCTTTAACACTGGCTGAGCCCGTGGTCCCCAGGTGCCCATCCTGGCTGGAGGTGGGCTGGGTCTGGACACTGTAGAGACTCTGCTGCCACTCAGCCCTTTGCTGAGGCCAGGGAAGGGTCTGATGACTCTTCAGCCAGGGCACCTCTGGGGCCCAGCTCGTGCCTCAGTCTCCCCTTGGCAACCGCAGCCTACCGTAAAAGCTCCTGGGCTCAACATTACTGGGGAAGGCACCTGCCAGAGTTTCTAAGAACTGTGAATGATAGGCTATTTTAAAAGCATTTTATGACTCTCATATAATTAGAACTAAGCTAACAAACAGGTAGAAATCAGGAGAGGGGCAGCTAATGAGGCTGGAATGATTTGTGGGTGACCGAGGCTGTTGCAGGGCCCTGGGGCAGCGACGGGCTCTCTGGAGCTCACGATCCTGTGGGCACGCGGCACTTCCCCCCAACACCGCCCTCCTCTCCCTCCTGCTCCCGCCCTCTGCACCTTCCTGAGTCCGGGTTCTCAATCAGGAAGGTCAGAATTCAAGACCTGGCTGGCTCCTCTGGAACACTGTGCAGCTCTGAGACCTGGACCCATGTCCTCAGTGCTGCCTGAATGTCCTCCCTCTGTAAGGGACCCTTTCCTTCTCCTTTCTGCACCTGCCTATTCTGCCAGGCCTGGCCCGGATGCCACCTGTCCCTGGGAGCCTTCTCCATACCATACCCCAGGCACCACCTCCCTAGCACCACTGCCTGGGCGGCTGGGCTGACCCCTTCAGCCTCGAGGTGAAGTCCCCTTTCTCTCCAGGACACGCACACACCCCTGAAGGTCTTATGGTACCCTGGGATCCTCACAAAGGGCTTCGTCATTGTTTGGAATTGGATTCTTTCTCAAATCGCCCACTCCTCTGCCTTGCTCCCTGCCCAGAGGGCTGACCCCTGGGCCAGTGTCACTAGGCTCCTGGCCCTCTGCTGAGTCTGGCCAGTGGGAGGCAGGGACAGAAGGAGGACAGCAGCCCCTCCCTGCTTGGTTCTGAAGGTCCGGCAGTGGCTTCTCCCCTCTGCAGACACAGCCCTGCTGGTGGCCTGCCCATCTCAGCCCCAGCTATCAGGAGGACCCCAGCCCCATTCCTGCCCCTTGCTGCTCAGGTCTAGGGGAGCTAAAGCTTTCCACGTTTTTAGTTCTGGGAGCTTCATATGTGCCTTACTGGCCCCTTGGCCCTGCCCAGCGTGTGTGAGGGACCCTGCATTTAAATCCACTCTTAACTCCTTGCAGGGCATGCTTTCTGCCCGGCCTCCGCCCAAGACAATGTCTTCCTTCTCCCCAACCTTGGCTCACACTGTGAAGTTTCCTCATTGCCAAAAAAGCTCCAGAACTGCCCCCTTCCCACTCCATATGCCCCAGACGGGGGTCAGGCAGCTCGGGTGCCAGCATCTGTTGGGGAAGCACCAGGCCAGAGACAGCAATTATGTTTGGGGAGCCTGGTGGGTGTCTCTGCGGGTCCCTAACTCAGGGAGAGGAGGCAGAGCTGGTGATTCCGAGTGTCAAAAAAGGGAGTAAATTAGCCTGGTGACGGGGGAGGGGGAGGAGGCTGGCAGGGGGCCTGTGCACAGGCCGTTATCTTCATGGAGAAAGCAATAAAACCGTGTTCGCTCATAAACGGGCACCACCAGGACCTATTTCCTGCTCAAATAAAATTAAAGGTGATGGATGGAGCCGCGAGCAGCAGGCAGAGCTGGGGGCGCTTAGTGCTGAGTGATGGGCCTTGTCCCGCGCCTGGCTCCCTGGGGTCTAGCGGCCCAGCCGAGGCTGGCCGAGCAGCAGTCCCAAATCTTGGAGAGACAGGGAACGTGTGTGCCATGTGGGAGTCAGGAAGGTGTGCGGGGAGGGTGAGAAAAATTGATAGCCACGGTTTTTTTCAAGGACCTTCAGTGTTCCCCACAGCAACGCTGCCCGCTCTATCCCACCTCCAGGGCGAGCAAACCCAGGCCCAGCGGCCTGGGAACCTGCTCTGCCCACACAGCTGGTCAGGCCGTCTACAGGCAGAGCTGGGGGACTGCAGGGCCCAGAGGAAGAGGGTGGGACGCCCACTGCCCTCCCTGGGGTGTGCCCAGACAGCACATGTCCCCAGAGAAAGCCTGGCATAGCAGCTGAACACAGAGACTGTAAACCAGCCTCCAGGACTGACTCCTAGGTCCGCGGCTCCTTAGCTGTGTGGGCTTAGAAAAGCCACTGAGCATCTCTGTGTCTCAGTTTCCTTATCTGGAAATGAGAGGGCGATCAGAGTTCTTGCCTCAGAGAGTTGTTGTGAGGACAGAAGAAGCTCGTGTAGGTCCAGTGTAAAGAGGCCATGGTGAAGAGGACCATGTGAATCCAGGTCCTCCCCAGGTGCCTGCCTCTTCCCAGCCCTGGCTCCTCTGTGCACCTCAGGGTGGGGGTGCAGCCTTCTTAGGAGACCCGCCTGGCCCTCGTCTGATCTCAGAGTCTCTCGGGCTGAGGTGAAGCTTACATCAGGCCCCGCCAGGCCACCTCCTCCAGGAAGTCCCTGGCACCCCACGGCTGGACTTCTCACTCACTCTCACCTGTGACCAGTTTGTGTTTGGGCCCAGGCCTTCTGGGGCACAAGGGTAAGGGCAAGGACTAGATCAAATCCGGGCTCTGCCATTCACTGCCTCATTTGGAACATGTGACTTCAACTTCCTGGGGCCTTGGTTTCCTCATCTAGACCAGCATAACCACAGGGTGGCCGTAAGGATTAAACAAACGTCCCTCTTTTAGCACAGGACTTGGCACACAGTAGGTATTCAATAAACACCAGCTATGGTGATGATGATGATAAGAGTCTCTTCTCCTGTTATGAAGCCCATGGAAACCAACTCCTGCATCCCATGGTGCCCCAGCACAGGAGGCTGAGAGAGGTTAGAGGACATAATTACCCCCCTGGTCAAGTGTCCCCAGCAGCCTCTGTAGGTCTCTGCACCCAGTGACCCTCCCACCTCCCCAGCTGCACCTTTCCCAGTTCAGAATCTCCCCTGCAGGCAGGAGTATCTGGGGAAGGCCTGAGGGGCCACCCACCAACACCCTGCTCACTGCTCCCCGTGAGCTCCTGAAGAGTCAGGAAGTGGACAGGTGCCCCGACCAGGTATGGGCCACCTACAGACAGACAGACAGACAGACAGACACACACACACACATACACACACACATGTAGGTGCAGCAGAGCAAAGACACCTGGGTGTCTCCCCCATCCCCAAGATCTGTGCCCACTTGTGCGAGGGCTGCATCTCAGAGGAGAGGAAGCAGTGCCCTTTCCTGGCCTCCTGGATGCAGGGAGGGGAAAGACTCACCACTGCTGGCCCAAGGCAGGTACCAGGGGCAGCTGACATTCACAAAGGAACCCGGGGGCCCGTCTGGCCAGCAAGCATAGTCATCAAAGGTGCGGTTGCAGAAGAGGCCTGCAGGCAGAGGGGATCATCTTAGAGTCCTTGCCAGTGGAGCCAGGGAGCATCCCCACCTCTCCCCAGGATGGAGGCCACTGACCTCTGCTGAGTGCTTACTGTATGCCAAGCACTTTTCCCCACATTGCAGGAACAAGCTGCTTGAGCAAGTGACTTGGTCCCTGTTTCCTCTCTGTAAAGGGGGGTATCCCCCACCCTGTGGGACCTTGTGGGGGAGAAGACTGTATGTACACACATGGACATAGTAAGTGTTCAGTAAACAATCCCTAAAGGCCTACTTTAGGTTACCCATCACAGATCAGAGAGAAACGGTAGCTTATGAGGCTGAGAAAACCTTTCTCAAGTGACCGTGCAATAATTACAGTCAGGATTTGATCCCAGGACCATATGACTGTAATACTGTGCTCTTTAAAACCATCTTACAAACTCCGGGCAATATTCACTCTTATAAATGTGCTTGTTGGACTTTTAGTCTCTGCACAGGCCAGCAGGGGCCAAGGAGGATAGGAAATGGAAAGGCCAGGTCCCCGCTCTGAGAGGCTCCAGCTGGGGTGGACAGGATGGACAGCCCCCCCACAGCCGAGCACAGGCCACTGGGTAAAGACCACAGAGATTCCTGGGGGAAGGAGAGCTTGAGCTGGAAGAACCTGTGGTTCTAGGTAGGGGACAGGGACAGAGAGGCATTCAGGAGAGGGGACAGCTTGACAAAAAGCTGGGGGCATAGGGCAGCTGTGATGTCCCAGAGAGGCAAATGACACCCAACCATGAACGTGGCTCTGTAACCACTTCCTGAGCATTGGCCGGGGAGAGGGTGAGGATGGGGCCCCACCTGGACCTACCTGTGGCCGGAGGTGGAGCCTCCGTCAAGAAGCGCTGGCACTGGCGACGGTACTCTCGCCATTTCTGCACCGTCTCAGAGAGGGACACGGTGGCGCCCTGAAGGGGAAAGGGCAGAAATGGGGACCTGTGGGCCCAGCCAGCCCCTCTTCTGCCTTCTCACCCCCACCCTCTGGGTTTTTGGATCTCTAGGGATCTTAGGCACCCAAACCCCACCAGGCAGGCAACGGCCCCCTCTGGAAGGGAGAGCGAGCAGAGCCTTCTGCACCCGCACCCTTCCCGGGCGGCGGGGAGCCTGGCGCAAAGGTAGTAGGTAGTTTCAGGGGATGGGTGGGTGAAGGAGGAACACAGCATGTGTGACTCATTCATGTCCTCGAGCCCTGGCCTAGGAGAGGACTTCCCGAGGGCCAGGGCTGCCTTACTGCCGGGGCCTCCCACCTCCCCATGCCTCCTCAGCCTGCCTAAGTGCACCCAGCACCTCGGGAAGCAGAGTGCACCAAGGATCAGACCTGGAGCTCCCCAGCTGCGTGACTGTGCTTGAGGACGAAGGGTGTAGGGTGCCGTCACACCTGGCACTACAGACAGCGCCAGATGAGTACTCCTCCTGCAAAACCCAACCACTGACCAAGGAGGGCTAGCCCACCAGTGCCACCCTCCAACAAGACACAGATCCATTACTCAGCCCAGCTCTACCCACCAGGAGGAAAAGGCACCCTGAGAGGACATGGTGGAAGGGGTCAGGAAGGTTCCAGAACACTGAAGTCATACCTGCGATGGGAGGGGCCCTCCTTGTGAGTGGGGGATATGAATCTCAATGTTCACCTCAAGGAACACACAGTTCCAATCAAACAGCCCCACTCCCCCAGGCACCACCCTCTGCACGTTTATTGTTGTTGTTGTTGGTGGTGGTGGTGGTGTGTGTGTGCATGTGTGTGTATGTATGCAATGCCTTTGGGTTGGGTGCTTTATCATTTTCATTTTTTTTTCCTGAACAGCCTTAAAGATTATAAATATTCCTTATTGTGAGGCTGTAGTTGCCAAAATGACCGGAGAGCCCCTGGTATAAAATTTAGGGTCTATACATAATTTAAAACAAAACTTCACCTTTTGAAATCACAGAGATGCACATATGGGCTGAAATTAAAGCATTTCAGAAGCTGGTGTCCCTGACTCACCCGCAGCACCCGAAGCACACACCAGACCTGGTGCCAGGTAGTCCTGCCCCGGGGTGAGCTGAGCTGTGGGTTAAAGACATCTCTCCAAAGTCACAGGTGCCAACCTGAGCTTCCCTCGCCACATGGAAAGCTCCAGAGTGGAGTCAGGCTCGCTCTGAGCAGTGAGTGAGCTAAGGCTGGCGGGCGGGGGGACTGCCCTGGAGAACAGGGCTCTTCTGAGGGTAAAGATCAGCTTATTTGTTGGGGGTGAAGGAAGAAAAGGAAATCAAATATACCAACAGTAAACATGGTGCTGCGATTTTTAGCGTGATTCCAGCTGAGGGGGTGGCAAGGTTTTCCTGAGAAAACCGTCTCCCTGCTCCCTCTTCCTGCTGCAGAACTCCCCTTAACGTCCCCTTAACGTTTCCAATAGGAAGACAGCAGGAAGCAGTGTCACCGGGGACAGGGACAGGAACAGGGCAGAAGGTGTGTCCAGGCGGGGAGTGAGAAGGAGGCCTGCAGATCCCAGCTCCTTCCAGCAGGACAGCAGGGCAGGGCCAGCCTGGCCACCCACACCCAGGTGGCTCCAACACAAGTGTCCTTCTCACCTGTTCTGAGCAAAGTATGGATATGAGATCATCCTCCTCTGCCCCTCAGGCTGGGGGGTCCCTGAGGACAGGCTGCACCCCCTCAGACTGGGGGGTCCCTGAGGACTGGCTGCACCCCCTTAGACTGGGGGGTCCCTTGGGACACGGCCCTATCTCTCTCAGACGAGGGGTCCCTGAGGAAGAGGCTACATGTCTCTCAGACTGGGGCTCTCTAAGGACAGGTTGTCTCCTCAGACTGGGTTTCCCCGAAGGCAGGCTCTGTCTCCCCCTCGGTTGTGGGGCTCCCTGACGATCCGGGTGTCCTGCTCTTTCCCTGCTCAGGATCTCCAGATGCCTGCCAGCCCCTCCCCCACTCCTGCCGACATATACTCAGCACCAACTCCGGAGAGTTTGGCCTTTTCCACAGCTTCACAGGAGGCCCTGGGTGTGCTAGGTTTTAAGTAGTGGTGGGCGGAGGGGACATGGAGCATATAAAGATGGCCCATAGAGCCCTGACTGTAGAGGGCCCCAGGGCTGCTTGGGGTGGGGGTCAAATGCTTTTCAGGACAAGTGACATGACCAAGAATGCTAGAAGTGCTTGGCGTGGTTGCCAGGTGGCTCTAAATACTGGAGGTGGGGGTACACTGAAGGGAGGGTGGGATGGCCGTTAGCAAGGAGGGTGGCATGTCAGCAGGGCATGGCAGGGACAAAGCCCAGAGGGAGGAACATGGTGCTCTGGTGAGTGGGAAAGCTGTGGGTTAGTGTTAGTGCTCAGCCGGGGTGGGGAGAGAATGGAGGGCAGGTACAAGGCTCTGCCCTGGGACAAGAGCAGGTAAGTGAGGCTGGGGCTAATAAGTGTCACAGGCTGAGGTGCCCAGGTGACACAGTGCAGGGGGAACTGTCTAGCTTTGGGCTCAGATGTGGGCCTGATCCTGACTCTCCCATAAATTCAGTCTGTGACTTGTGCAAGTTTAACTTCCGGCTTCAGCTTCCACCTGTGCCAAGTGAGATGGTAAGAGACGCTGCCCCTCGGGATCCTCATGAGTGGCCCCTGCACATGGAGGAGGCTCAGTCAAGGCACGTCCTCAGGATTCTGCTGCTCGGGGGAAACCGCCGAGTGGAATAGGCAGGTCTGGCTTCCTGGATTTGGGGGCCTCATTCCTCCTTTCCTTCTAGAATCAGCAAACTCCCAGAAAGATGAAACTCATAGATTTCCATGCCCAAAGACCAGTTATTCTGCTTAATTAGTGACAGCTTCCAGCAGCAGACGTGGCCAATGGTTAAGTGAAGCGGGGAAGGCTTGGGGCTCCCTGCCCTGTTGGGGACGGGGTAGGTCCTGCCCATATCTTCCCCCTACTTCCTCCTCCTGCCACCTGAGTCCCTGCTCCAAGTCTGGTGAGATGTCTGGAGGGTGGGGAGGACACAGTGGCAGGTGTCCCTGTCCCTCACAGCTCTGGCACAAGAACAGGACAGCAGTGGGGACCTAAGGGTACAGAGTAAGGGCAGGTGGGAGGATTTTAGAATCAGGACGTCCAGGCTGCTTGGAATCCCTCTGAGGGGGATGACAGGGCTGGAGGTGACAATGAGGAGGGGCATCCCCCAGGTTCAGGAGTTTGGGGAGGAAGCAGGAGGCAGGAAAGGGAATGTCAGAGGGAGTGGTGTGGTCCGCGGGAATGAGCACAGGAAGAGCCACAAGTCCTTGGTTTATATCCTAGCTCTGTTCATTAACGTATGGCGCATTTTATCTTTTGGGGCCTCCACTTCCTCACCTGGACAGTGGCATTTGCTCCTGTTCAGAGTGACTGAATACAGATAGATGGAAACCTTCGGGAGGTGTCAAGCCTAGAGCCAGCGGGCAGCATTTGCAGGAAGAAGGGCAGAAGGAAGGACGTGGGAGGGGTGGGACCCTCAGGTGACAGGCTTCCCAAGGCCTGGGACCGTACCCCTCTCTAAATCTGACTGCAATGGGGAAAGGGCCTCCTACTTCTGTGTGTGAATATGTGAACCAAGTTCTTTCCCTTTCTGGAAACTTTCTGGGTTGAGGAAAAGGAGAGAGAGAACACAGCCTCTCTGGGCCTCTGGGTAGGTGATAGGAGGGAGGGAGGGCCTCTCAGAAGGAGCAGAGGGGGCTCCAGACAAATATCTGGAAGGCTCCAAGTAGACCTTTTGGTCTCCCTGGCCTCTCCCTCAGGACCCTGTCCTTCCTACCTGCCACCTCCCAGAGCCCAAGTTATGCCTTCCATCGTGGCCCTGCAGGGCGAGGCTGCCAGAGCCCTCTCTCTTTGTCCCCCCTCCCATTTTTTTTTTCTTTAAGGGATTTAGATGTCTGAACAGCAGGTCAGGGAGATGTGAACAGCACACACCTTCTCACAAGCTCAGGAACCCTGGCACGGATAAATGGTCACATGCATTATCACACACACCCTCAAGGACATGTCTAATGCTGAGACCGTGAAATGGGGTCATTCCCTCCACACATACAATCACACACAGACTGCCGGGAACACTCACATGCTGAAACACTGCCCCCAATACACACTTGCACACAGACACATACACAAACCCCATGCCTCTGGACTCATACACTTGACTCACACTGTCGCAAACATAGACACTGCCACATGTACACACTCCCCCTTCTCTCTCTCTCTCTCTCTCTCTCACACACACACACACACACACACACACACACGAATACATACCAGCAGGATGTCACACACATACTTTCCAGGATGTCACACACACTCAGAGACCCTCCCACAGACAAAGTATCAAATAAGGGTCACCAACACACACTGTTGGGCACCCAGTTACATGCTAAGATGTTGCTACCCACACAGTGACTCCTGTCCAGGCAGATGGTCACACACAGGGTCATGTACTGATGCCCAGGGAAATGGGGTTCATCCGCCTGCCCCCTCCTCCCCCATCTGTCTCTCTGTAGCCACCTCTATCCCACACCCCTCTCTGTGTCTCACACACGTAGGTGCAGATGCACACGCAGGAATTGGCCCTGCAGGCTACAGGGAAGGAGGGGCCTGCTTTTCCTTAGAGGAAGGCACTGGAGGCAGGAGGTGGTTTCTGACCCCTCACTGGATCTATATCTGGGAGGAAGCCTCGCTCAAGGCAAAGTCCACACTGACCAAGGCACAGCTCTGGACCCTGTCTGCCCTTTACGAGAGTACAGAGACCCCTCTCAGGTCCTGTTCTTAGCTCTGGGAACATTTCCAGGTTCCAGAAGACAAACAGACCAATACTCTCAGGTGACTAAAGCGGCCATTTCAGGGTGCTAATTCCCCAATCCTCTCACTGACCTTATGTGATAGATCTTGTCATTCTTACTTACAGATGAGGACACTGAGGTTCAAGATGGTCCAGTATCCTACCCAAGACCAGTATCCTACCCCACCAGCTAGTAGTAGACCTCATATTTGAACCCAGCTCTGTCTGGTTTTAATTTGGGTGTTAAAGGCACTCCTGTCTTCTCAGAGACCAGTCTTATGCCGAAAGTCTTGGGGAGGTAAGGAACAGGGGAGGGGAGTGATCCTTCCCAGCAATAGTGAAGGAGTGACCTAGGTCACCTTTATCAGAAGTGGACTCAGCCATCCCCTATCTATAGGCAAGTGGC